ACAATACAATATATTTGTATAATATTTTATATCAATATAAAATAATATTTAATATATAAGTTGAAATATTAATACATAATGTTTTAATAAATAGTATTTAAATAAGTATAATCGAATATTTATAGTTATGCTATTTAAACATGGAAAACGTTTATATAAGGTTGCAACCTTAAAATGTAGAATTACATATGCACCTAAAAATCCATCGGAGAATTTTTTTTTAATGTTAAAAAGTCCTCTAATGGATCATCTCGACATCAAGACGTATGAATATGAAAAAAAAAAGATTCAGAGTCCCAGAGATAGTACATCTTGCAACACAACATCAAGCTCGTCCAATTTCAAAATTTCCATATGTTTATAGATCTACTTGCTTTTAACTATTTTTGGAGTTTAAAATTTTATAATTAGGTATGAAAATAGATTTTCAGATAATTCTCATAATTTTTTACATCAAAATTGCTTGTTATAATAACATTTGGAGGTGTGCCTTAATTGGATTGTTTAAGGTGCAACCTTATAGAAACCACACCCTTTAAATATTATATGTATAGATTTAATGTATTTACAAAATATATTTTAAATACTAAACAACCAAATATACAATGCTTTTTAAATGTATTAATAAATATGGTAAAAATATTTACGCATTAACCAAAAACAAGTCGCAAGAACAAAAGATAAGGGAGCATAAAATATGGTATTAAAAATGGGAATCTGGAAGGAGGCACACAACACTTGGGCGTGGGCATTGTCGAATAGAGAGGCACAACCGACCCTCCTCACCCTCAAGTCAGAACAAATATATAAGCCCAACCAAACTGTTCACACACAAAACACCGGTGGACCGGGTAGCGTGCAACGGAAAGCGAGTCCATTTCCCCTTCATTGTTCTCCTCCTTTCCCATTTCTCCTCTGCAAAACCAACCCCCATCGATCCACAAAAGACCTACCAACGGACAAAGAAAACCCAAAGATTTGCAGTCTCAATAAACAAAACCAGGTGGAGCAATAGAGAGCTCCGATTTGTTTTTTTGCTTTTCGTTCCTCTTTGAGGCGGTTTAGGTCTAGGGTTACATTTTTCTAGAGAGAGAAAAAAAGAGGGGGAGGCATGGTAAAGGCAGGAGTCGGATCAGACGGAGCTGCATCGTGATTTCCACGGCCGCCGCCTCCTCAGGCGAGGGGCTCCGGTTTGAAGGTTGTGTATGGAAACGCGGAGCCGCAAGCGGGCGGAGGCCTCCTCATCAGCCCTTTCTCACTCCACTCGTTCCTCTAAGAAACCCCGCCTCTCATCCTCCTGCACAACCACCCCTTCTCCACGCACACGCCCTCTCAATTCACGCACCACCCCTCTCAATTCACGCACCACCCCTCCTACTACTGATAAAATGGACGACTCCTCCTCAGCCTCTACCTCGCGCAAGCTCCGCAATTCCCAAAAGCAAGAAAAAGACTCTTCAGACAAAGGAAAGGAGAAAGAGCCGGAAACAAACAGACACCACACTAGTAATCTGAGCACCGATGGAGTCGCAGGGGATGACGATCACGAGAGCAGCGAGGGTGTCAGCATTTTGCATCAGAACCTGACATCGGCAAGCAGCGCCCTACAGGGGCTCTTGCGTAAATTGGGGGCGGGGCTGGATGATCTGCTGCCATCGTCGACTGGGGGGGCGATCTCCTCGCAGCAGAGTGGGAGGTTGAAGAAGCTACTCTCAGGCCTGAGGGCGGATGGCGAGGAGGGAAGGCAGGTCGAGGCATTGACACAGCTCTGTGAGCTTCTGTCCATTGGGACTGAGGATTCATTGGGGGCATTCTCGGTGGATTCATTTGTCCCGGTGCTTGTCGGCTTACTCAATCATGAATGCAACCCTGATATTATGCTGCTGGCGGCACGAGCCCTTACCCATCTCTGTGATGTGTTGCCATCATCATGTGCTGCGGTGGTGCACTACGGGGCAGTGCCATGCTTCTGTGCACGGCTTCTCACCATTGAGTACATGGACTTGGCTGAGCAGGTCAGTTTGTTCATTGCTCTCTCTCACTCATCCTTGCATGCTTAGTTAGCTACCCAGTTGTCAATACATTGCTTGAATTCCTTCTCTTGCATTTGTTTCATGCTTTACTGAGAACTCATTTTTGTTAAAATTACCTCTTTAGTTGGTCCCTTGTGCTTTATTCAGAATTCGTGACCTCTTTCCTTTTTCATTTTCTATTGCTAATGGCATTTATTTTGGTTTCTGTTTCATGTCACAGTCTTTGCAAGCCCTAGAAAAGATTTCTCATGAACACCCGACGGCTTGTTTGCGTGCGGGAGCATTGATGGCTGTGCTGTCCTATCTCGACTTCTTCTCTACTGGAGTCCAAGTAAATTCTTCTCTCTTTCACTGTCTTCTTTTGCGTGTTCATGATGTTTTCAATTGGATGCTGGACTCCCCCCTCTCTCTCTCTCTTGTTGCCTTTTGTTTGTGCTTTCATGATGATGTTCTTGATATACTGGAGTTATTTTAGGGTTTGTGATGCTCCTTACTTTTGACATTGAATTTTGTATCTGATTGACTTGCATTTCTTCCAGAGGGTTGCATTATCCACTGCTGCGAACATTTGTAAGAAATTGCCATCCGATGCAGCTGACTTTGTGATGGAGGCTGTGCCCCTACTTACCAGTCGGCTGCATGATCATGATTCAAAGGTAAAGTGTAACTTGCTCTATATCCTTTTCTTTTTTTTTTTGCTTGGTTTGTTCTCATCTAATTTTCATGGTATGATTTCATCGAGTTAAAATCGAAATCAAAGCCAATGGCTTTAAAGTAGCTTGAGACTTCCATTTGTAATACTAAGTCTTGCTAGCATGAAAGCCCCATCAGGAAATTGGATGAGGTAGCTTAGGGACTGCAGTTCATTTTTCTTCTAAAGTCTTGTAGAAAGGAATCGTTATAGTATTGAAGGCTAAACAATAACAGAAAAATGAGATCGAACTTGCTAAATTCCATGATCCTATTGGACATGAATGGAGAAGCAAGCTGATTTTACTTCTTGGAAGTTCCACCAGCATTGTCTTGTTGAATTCCATGATCCTATTGGTCGTGAATGGAGAACTCAGTTGATGTACTCCATGGAAGTTCCACATTTACTGACTAGCTGTATGAAGATTGAATTAGCAATGCTAACTATGGTGTTGTATAAGATGGGTTCTGTTTGGGAAGTTTTATGGTGCCAACTACTCCCCATGTTCTCTTTCATTTGTTTGTGCATCTTATTACTTTTTACCTTCTTAGGTTTAAGCTGTCAACATTAGATCAATGTACTCTTACTCTTTTCGCCGTCACGCTCGCATCATATATTTGAAAGTTTTAATTTAACCTTTATGATGAATATCTCTTATGTTTGTTTACAGGTACTGGACCATGCTTCTGTTTGCTTGACCCGCATTGCAGAATCATTTGCATCATCTCCTGAGAAGTTGGATGAATTGTGTAATCATGGTTTGGTTGCGCAAGCTGCTGGACTTATTTCTCTCAGTGCTTCAGGTGGTGGCCAAGCGTCACTCAGCACATCTACATACACGGTAATGCTAGAAATGGACTCCCAACCTCCCAACTTAATCGACCTTTATGGTGTGCATGATTGTGACTTTCTCATTGTGCAGGGTCTGATAAGGCTACTCTCAACATGTGCAAGTGGCTCACCTTTAGCAGCTAAAACTCTCCTCCTCCTTGGCATTAGTGGCATTCTCAAGGATATTCTTTCTGGTTCTGGTCTAGTTGCCAGCATTTCTGTTTCACCTGCTCTAACGAGGCCCCCGGAGCAGGTGCTCAAACTTTCACCATCATTACTGCTTTGCTTCATTGCTAGCTTGCATGTCTAACTGGTGATTTGCATTATTCTGAAGCTAAGCATAACTAAAAGCAGTGTTCAGTCAAGGGTTGTCTGCTAAACAAAATTTATGGAAGTGTGATTAATTAGCGATTGAGGAATTTGAATTTTGATTTTCGAGCATTGATGAATATAATTTGATCGACTTGTCATTCATTAACTTAACAACACTAAAGACATGTAAGATGTATATATAATGAATGGTCTATGGACTGCTATGCAATGTGGAAAATGGGAAGTTTGTCATATGAGTGCAAAAGGAATGGGATTTTATTAATAGTATTTAAGCAGTATGATTAAGCACTTGTTTATTATCCATTATCTGAACTTTTGGTACTGGCTTCTCATTTTGAACTTCATATCTTTTTATGAAGAAGAAAAAAACTTGCACATCTTAACTTAAGATGTAGCTTGAGATAGTGCCGATTTCAGTATGTCGTAAGCATCCATGGTTCTCTTCTCAATCATCTTTTTTTTTTTTGAACTGACTGTCTTGTCTTCCTGCTTTGGTGGATGCATATAATAGTCCTTATTTGGCGGTTAGTGTGCAATCATTGTAGATGTCGATAAGGATAGATCCTCTCTTGTTTTGTTACTATCTCTGTCAAAAGTTCTTTACCGTCTGCCAGTTATTGAAGGGATGGGATTCTTGAATCTCTATGTTTACTTCTGGACAAGCAAATAATGTCTAACATTTGAGACTCATTAGATTGTCAAATGAATGACCTTTATGGCACCACCCTCTATGGGAAAAACTACTATGGACACTTAAGTTTCAGTAATTTTTTCTAGCTATTTACCCCATGATGCTCGTGACATATCTTAGAAATTCTATTGTTCTTTGATGACTCAACAATATCTTTTAGAAAAGAATCTACAAGTTACTTCTACTCAATACCCCAAGTTCATGCACTTCGTATAGTGTGAGAGTAGGTTGTATAATAGTTGTTGAAAATGCTTGTGATTTCGATTCCCTTTAGGAATTGGAATTGCAGAATTGTGTAAGTTAGATGATTCCTCATCTCGGAATCATCGTCCGTACAATGAAAATCATTGGAGTTGTGATTCCCAATAATTGGAATCGCGATCCAATAAAATAGGAACCATGATTCCTTTTTGTAGGAATTAGTATCCCATCATGTTGGTATCTATATTCCTACCGTTCAGGAATTGCACATGACCCCATACCATTCAATGGCTTCCGCAATCACAATCCAACGAAATCGGAATCGTGATTCCTATATTAGTGGAATCATTGTCCCCATCGGTTTGGATTCAAAATTCCCACAATTCAAGAATCTCGAACCAATCCCGTCCAATATATGAGAGAAGTATTTTACGAGAAAAGTTCAAATTTTTACACTTATTATGAGCTTGAAATCTAGAGTCCATATTTTTAGTACAATTACCATGGGCAACCATATTATGTGGATTGACATCTTTGTTAGCACTCCCATACATTTGGGCTGCCACCCAAACATCTTACCTTGATGTAGGGCTACGACCCACCATGTGATTTATAGATTGATAAATCTGTTGGGTAGCTCGCTAGAGATTATTGTACGTGGATTCATATCAAAAGTTTATTAAGGTTTTTTGGTTCTCACAATATCACAGTCCCGAAACCCAAATCATGGGTATTTAACTTTCTACAAAAATGTAATATATGATATGAAAGGGTTCCTGGAACTCCTTCGGTAACATAGAATAGGCTCCTAGAGCTCCTCTGGCAACATACAATTTATGAACATAGTTCATTCAACATTTTCGTTTGAATCTTGATTCTGTGTCATTAGAACTTGTTTCGACGTTGATTGAAACATTGTTTAGTGTGTCTATAAACCATGCCTTTTTTATGATAGGGATCTAGCTTCCAAACGACATGGATTCGTGATTCCAAAAAAATTGGAATCAACATCTCGCACATTGAATCACATTGTTGTGCAACTATGAATCACAAATTCTGTGGTATGGAATCTAGATTACAAGCTTCCAGGAATCGAGATTCAAATAATAATCTAGAACGGGTTTCGAAAAACTTGGATACATGTTTCCTATCTTCCAGAATCGCATTTCATCGTGGGTACTGCAGAATCGATTTTGAAGCGGAATCGCGACCTTGGTACACTATTCGAGTAACTATAGGTCGTATCCTCATTGGGAAGGATCACTTCTATTTAATTCGCTTATATTTGACAATGAGTGTCATATATTCTTATTCAACTCAGGAGACTTTCATACAATCACAAAAAAGTAATGCTATGCTAGTGTATTATGTTCATATCCAGGCATCCAAACTTCTTTCACAACCTACTAATTCCACCATACTCCTTGCATTTGCTAGCTACCTTTCATTCTCACCCCAAAGGCAAACATAAACATGCACATGCACGTGCCTGAGCAAATCACACTGTCTGACGCCTCGAAAAGGAACAACCTATCTCATGAACGTTAATTGTTGATTCTACTTTGATATTGAAAATTGTGATTAATGCAATCATTTTGTGGGCAGTCTTAATTTGTGCTGCCAAACTAATGGAAGAAATACCTTGATCACCAATGTGTAATTTCTCTAACAATGATCTATGATTAGATATTCTTTAAAGGTTGAGGTCTGTGGTCTGTCTAGTCATATTTGAGAACCCCTCCTTAACACCATTACACCCTTGTTACTCCCAAATAATATCAGTTGTTTCATACGATGCCCTTGTAATGTGTTGGGTAACATCGCTGCCTAAATGCGGCTGCACTTTCATTGAAAAGAAAGTCTCTCATTTTACATTAAAAACCTACACCTTCATTCTTTCCAATGTTGGTTTGCAATCTACCACCTTTACTTCTTTTCTCAACTCCTACAAGGTTAGCCTTTTTACTCCTCTTTCATTCTCTCTTTGCCGCTAAGTCCTTTTCATGTCTCCTCCGCCCTTCGTGTAATTTACTTCTCCCCTTCTGTATCACTCATCCCCACTTCGTTCTTCCTTTCTACTCATGTTTTTAGTATTACACTTGTTAATAGGTCTATCAATAATTAGGTGGCCTTTGTGGAGAAATTTTCAATTCTTTCAGTCCATAGGGGAACTTACTTCCTCACCCAGTCATCTTCTTCTGCCTTCAGACGGCATCTTGTGGTTTACCATGGCCACAAAAGCCTCCTTGGATAATTTTTTATTCTGGTTTTTGTATATTTGTCATGTACATGGAGTTTGGCATTATTTTAATAAATCTCCTATAGTTTTGTTTGTTGCATATGAACCCTCTTTTGTATAGAGCTCCTGGCATGTTGGCGACCATTTTTGTTATATTTTATACTTTAAGTAATATAGTCAAATATTCTCTCAAAAGATCAACCACCTCCCATCTCAAGAGACTTCTTAGAGAACCCATATCACCTCAAATTGAATTCAAACTATGAAGGTTGAAAATGGACTGCTCTCTTCATTGCAGAATATCTCTACTATAAGTTGTGGGTTCCATTAGATTGAAGATTCAAAAGTGGAGATTTCTCTTTCTTTTCAACCACTGAATAGAGATATACTTGAAAAACTAGCTCCCTCATGCACCAATCTGGTTTAGCAAGGTTTATGGAGGTCAAAGATATTTGTTGGCTCATAGATGTATCAAGCTTTGAAAATGGCACAAAATTATCTTGATGTGAGGCTCCTCAAGTTTTCGCCACAAAATAACTTGGAAACACTAATCAACTGTTCCCTTTTAATGTTTGAATGAAGATGTCAAATTCCTCACCTTGTACCAATTATGTCGCTCCTCTGATTTCATCAGTTTGTTCATCTGTTGTGAATGTTTGACATGCTTTGGATTCGTATTTGTCCCATAGTTGTGGGGATCTTGATCAAGGGGTGGTGTTCCCCTCTTGGAATCTCAATCCGGCGATCTGGGAGTTGGAGCCCGAGCGTTACTCGCTTCCTCCCATAAGGGGATCTTGATCCCTATCTATTGGGATGTCGCTTCCTAATCTAAAGGGTTCTCGATCCTTGAGTGTAAAGGATCTTGATCCCTATCGATGGGGAACCACGACTCTTCAAAAGATGGGCCGTGTTCCGAATATGATGGGATCTCGGTCCCCTAGAAATCCTTTGAATTTTTTTCTCCCCATCTGTCTGTGGTGAAAATGTATAGGCTTTGCTGTCCCACTTTGTGTTTCCACTTTCCACCCTTTACTTCCTCTCTTTCATCTCTCACATAACATGAAGATAGTTCTTCAATTCCCTCTCTCACATAGCAACCCTATGTGCATATAGATCCATAGACTAGGGGGAAACCCAACAATCTCTGCATAGATTAATCATCCTTGATCTATCTACTTAAATATGAAAGCTAATCCTACTAGGAAAATATTTGCCTCTTCAAACTTGAATATCCAAAACTTCTCTCCTATAGTATAGACCTGTGCAACAAAGAATATAACAAAATCCCGCATGGCATAGCTCTCTAGATTGTAGGTGTAATTATCTCCATTTATATATTGTAATTATCTCCATTTTATATATAACACAGATTACAGAATGCTCCACAGATATTCAGTGCAACCATCAGCATCCAAAACTTGAACAAAAGATGATTAGCATAAGTAATCAACAATTCAACATTAACAAAATTTTGATGAGAAATGATAGAAGAAAACTTCCAAATATTCCAGCAATTCATGTCAAAATAACAATTATATTAGATTAAAAATAGTCAATCGAGTCCCCAGTTATCACCTAAGCAGGGCACCGACACACAGTTTATCACTTTTATCTATAGCAAGTGCATGACTAATCACGAAATCCTTCCTCCTTGATAATTATATTAGTAATTTACGGCTAGGGAACATGTAAGAATTGTTCTAGTTCAATTCTTCCAAGTTAAGAAAGAAAAGGAAAAGAAAATGTTTGCTTATGATGGAATATTAAGAAACTCCTAACTAATATCTCA